GGGGTTCACCCTACCGACACCTCACAATAGGGGGTGAGTTAATTTTTGGCCCTTTTTTATTTAGGTGAGGCCCATGCTTTGTGTATTATCTGGTCGGGTTCTGTGAACCCTGCTTCTGTACACGAGGAAAAATTCTTATAGTAATGTCCTAATACTTTTGAGCACGTATCCCAAATAGAAATATTTATATTAACTTTATCTGCGAGAGGATGACCTTAAATCTGTGTATTATTTATTTCGTTTTGCTTAGTAATCTTCTGGTAATTGAAATTAGGGCTTAATTCCTCATAGGTCCGCCTAGGACTTATCCGCATATTAATTGATAATATTGTTCATCAGGTCCAAGTTTTGGCATGGGATTACTTCAATATAAGTTGGTGCTGGCTAAAGATGCTATTAAGGTAAATGGGACATTTCCTAGGATTCCACAGTATATAGAGGAATGCCAGTATCCAGAAGCACTAGACCCTGCTATAGTGCAAAGCAGTATGGTTATTTGCAGCTTCTCTGCTGGCTTCTACAATGGAACTTCAACTCTCACAGCCATTATAGAGACGGCAATGGCTCTCGAATTTATGGGGTTCGTCCTCATTGCAAATCCAATTTACGGAGACTTCATAGCAGAACCTATTCCCTTTTCTGTTCCTGGCATAATGATCCCGAAAACTAGTGATGCCCAAGTATGTATTTTCCCAATGCATATTAACAGACTTGCGCGAATTGAAAAGATCATAGAAATGAAGATACGCTTTTTATGATTTGCTTAGATCATAACGCGATATTATGAGCAGCAAACTTACCGGGATAATCAAGGAGTCGTAACAAGATATGGTGGCAGGGCAGCTATTGGTGAGGGAAGAATTGCTTCTTACATGGACCGAGCTCCTATTCTTAGCAGGTTCTCTTCGAGGGGGCCTGATTATAGTGATCAAAGGAGGAGCCCTGCTGATGTGCTTAAGCCTGACATTTTGGCACCAGGGCACCAAATTTGGGCAGCTTGGAGTCCCATGAGTGTTCTTAATCCTATCCTATCTGGTACAACATCAGTGTTTTGTTGATTTTATGCTCTTTCTTGATTTGATATTTGGATTTTTGCAAATGCTGTAAAATTGTACAAGTTTAAACCCACAGATATCAAGTTTAAGCAATTTCAGGATACGATTTTGCGCTGATATCTGGAACCAGCATGGCAACGCCTCACGTTGCAGGGATAGCTGCACTTATCAAGCAAAAGAATCCGTCATGGACTCCCTCGATGATTTCTTCAGCAATGTCAACAACAGCTACCAAACATGACAATAGAGGAGAACCCATAATGGCTGAAGGCTTTGCCGCCTACAGCTTATATCCTGCCGCCCCTTTTGGGGTTGGTGCTGGCCTTGTTGATCCCGTCCGTGCCTTGGACCCGGGACTCGTATTTTCTTCCGGTGAAGTCCTATAACCTTACTATGCTATTATCGTTGTAGATAGTCTAATTTCATTTGTGATGCAGGATACGAAGACTACCTTAGTTTCTTGTGCTCTCTTCCAAACTCTGATCCAGCAAAAATCAGAATCGCCACGGGAGGATCATGTGCTGCAACTTTTAGCAACCCGACTGACCTAAACCTGCCATCGGTGACAATATCTGCACTATCTGGCTTGCGGTTGGTACACAGGATTGTCGAGAACGTATCAAACAAACCAGAGACTTACCTATGCGCAGTGCTCCAACCAAAGGGAGTGAACGTTACAGTAAATCCACCTCAGTTCACTATAAATCCAGGAGGAAACCAGAATCTGGAAATTACACTAACTGTAATGCTAGTACTCGATGACTTCAGTTTCGGTGAAATTGTTCTGACGGGAAGTCTAAATCACATTGTGAGGATGCCCTTGTCAGTTTTTCCTGTTGCACTGTAATTGGGAGAAGGATTTCGTCTATCAAGCCAAATAACATGCTAGGAGAAGATGGGGATGGGGAATACTATAGACACAAGATGTTGAATATATTAAAGCTTTCATACAAGAAAGGCCTACATATCTGAAATATATATTACTTTAAATTAGTACTTGAGAACTGGAGACTATTCGTCTAATTGTAAATTTGACTAGCAGAAGTACTATATGTAAATCAAATCAATGTTCTTAAAATCGGATCGGTGTGGCCAGTTCAACTGGAAAGATAGGGACCAAAATCGGTCCAATTAGGCTTATAAAACCTCTAATTAAGATCCTGTCCCAAAACCCGTTAAACAAGTTACATGTGATCCATTCCCAGTTTAACTAGTTCAACCTATGCAAGTGTATATTTTTTTTAAAACATTAATGTAAATAACTCGACTTGTGTTAGTCATGTCAGAGTGGTCAGGCCAGGCTGTGCGTCATAAATAAAATCCGAAAGAAAAATCGAAAACTGTCAGTAAGCCAGTCCTGCAATGAGCTCGGATGTGGTGGTTGGCCATCACAAAACCGGACACAGCCTAACTTAAAACTGTGGTTCAGTGAAGTCATAAAAAGGGTTGACAGTAAAGAAATACACTGTAGATTATACAGTTTAGTAAAATGGACGTATTACTTTTTAATGTATTCTTGCAACAAAGGAACTACTAATGATGTTCTAATCCATCCAAAAACACCAGTCACCACTGTCTTTAGTGTATTTATTATTCTCCTTGTTTACCAAAGAATGGAAGCATAATGAAAATATGTAACATCACAACTTGCAACTTAAATGGCAAGAGGAAAATTCAGTTACACATTAAATTCTAATTATATGCTAATTAAATCAGTGAAAAGTAACAGGAGTCTTTAACATTTCTGAAAAGTCATCTAAAATGCTATGGAACGCTAGAAAATTCGTCTAACACGATACAATGTCAAATTTAAAATTTTAACATTACCAAGTTTATGTTATAGATTACAATTTAACTAATTTGACCTTACGTACAGAATTAATTTAACTAAAGCAAACTTTAATTAGTTGTCTAAGTGATTAATCATACAAGTCAATTAACCTATGTTGGAATGCCGCAGTTTGTATATTATGGAAAGCAGTAAATAACAAACAATATGATGATGGTGTGAATAGAACTTCGGGACCAAACCAGTTACCTCCACTATCGACAATTCAGAGCATACAATGATACGCCTATCATGTACCCGTTAAGACTCGCTGCCACAGTTTTACGATCAACCGCCGTAGATGCCTCTAGCGCTAGAACTCCTGATCTACCTCCTGTGACCTTTTACTACCGTAGATTTCTCTAGCCTCTTGCTAGACTCCTGCTCTACCTTTTGCAGCCCAATCTGTTGTCTCCTACAACTTCATGGTCTATACTGAACGTCTCTCCAAGTAGACCACCAAGAACCGTCTATTCTTATGCTTGTAACTGCGCTTCAATCCACCTTTCTCAACTCCCCAATGAGAGAGTCACTTCCTTAATAAATTAAAAAAGCTCGGTGCTTTGGGTTATGAAGATTGATATTTTTCCCAAAACAATGGTTGTCGGATCACAAGACCAATGATGAATTCAATGCTTGAAGCTTTCTTGGATCTCTTTAATATGTTTAGAAGAAGATATCAATATGAGGCACAATGTAGCAAACACCCAAAATTCGTGTTAGGACTTGGGTATTTATATTTGAAGGTGTTTAGGTGGTATGGGCCGAGTAAAACACTTCAAAAATGAGAACTAAGAGTTTTGACACTGTATTTTTATCATATATTTTTCTCCTGATGTTCGATTGAGGTTATTCAACTTCGTTGGAAAGATAACTCAAAGAGCTATAATTTTTCTAAAGTAGCCTTGTCCAAATCCCAATGTTTTCTATGTAAAAATTGCATTGCAAGTTACGATTGAAAATCCGAAATATAATTTGTGCGGCTCTTTAATATCCTTTAGACTTTCAATTACATTCCAATGATCTTAAGTGATCTTCTTGGACATCTTGGACTCCCTTGATGACTTGAACACTGATTTACCTCATTTATACAAAATTGTAATCTAAGCCCTTGACTTTTTCATGAATGTTCAATTGAGTCACTGACTTTTACAAACATACAATTACGCCCATTTTGTCTACAAAATTGCCAATTACACTTATAGACCTAACAATTTCGACGAGAAAAATCAAGAATAAATCAGTGTATGTATCATATAATTGGAGATTGAACAGAGTTCAATGAATAAATCTACAATTTCAAGTGCTAAGAAGATTAGACTCTATCCCTAAAAGAATTCTTCCATGTTACACATAAAAGTTGAACACCATGGATATCTGTATACACTCCTTCCAAG